ACAGACAGCCCCTTTCCCCAAAATAGTTTCTCTGTAGGTGTTTGGAACCTTAGGTTACTATAGAATTCCATTTTTTAATTTCTTTTTCTTATTGTATGCCATTGAATCCGATCTGACTAGCACAGGAGATAGCCTCTCCTTCTCCAGCAAAGCATCTGGTGGATTCGAACTATGCACCTTTGGTATTATAGCACAGCTTCCTTGCCAGTATGCCACCAGAGCTCCCTGAATTCCATTTTTTAACATTCTCTCACAAACATGCATGGAAAATTTAGGCAGTCAGAATTGGTAAGTAGGTTGCACTCCTTGGAAGCAAGAATGGTGCACCTTCATACCTTTGAGCATGCTGTTAGGAGAGCCCTGTACTTAGGAAAAGACATCACGCTGGGAAAGGTGGAGGGTTAGAGACAGTCCCTCAGCAAGATGGATTGACACAGTGACTGTGATGATGAGCTCAGGCGTGTCAGAGGTGATGAGGATGATGGTTGGTGTCTTACAGCCACCCTACAAATGTGCATGAACACATAATACATTTTGACAGTCCTGTGTTTTTGTAAGACTTAAAACCTTTTATAGTATATTAAACAAAGATTAACTATTTGAGCTGGTTGTTGGAGCTACAAATATGACTGAGAGTTTTATGTTTTATAGTTGTAAATTTGATTTTTAAAATTGCATTAAAAATTGCATTTAAAAGTGGGTTGGAGACTGGGGAAGCAGCTGATTGCTGTAAGATGGGTGCTCTTGTTTTGGTGCGGGCCAATGGGAATGTTTGATTGGGAATGATTGTGGAATAAATGATCTCATAGAGGGTCCTTGGATTTAAAAGTTGGTTGAATACTGAGGAAGCAGCTAGATGCTGTAAGATGGGCACTCTTGTTTTGGTCAGGGTCCATGGGAATGTTTAGTTGGGATTGATTGTGGAATAAATGACTTCATGGAAGGCCCTTGGATTTAAAAGTCTGATGAGTCCTCACCTGCGGCCCTTTGGCCTAGTGTTGTTATATTTTGGAGGATCATTCTTCTAAGTCATACAACACTCTTCTGTCAATTTGCTGCACTGAGGTAATCTGGGTTTGCTGTGATTCTGAGCCTTGTGCCATTAGGGTGTCAGATACCATAACGGTTGCCCATGGTAGATAGTGTTTGATGGAGCTCCCAGTTTAAGATAGGTTTGGAAGCAGGAGTGGCATCCACTTCCTCAACAACATGTCTCTGGAAACTCAGTGAACTTTGAGAAACGATGATAGTTATAGAAAGCCTTCAGGTCTTTTGTTCATGTCTCTGGAAACTCTATGAACTTTGAGAAACGACGGTAGTTATGGAAAGACTTCAGGTCTTTTGTTCATAGGGTCACTATGAGTTGTGATCAACTCAACAGCAGTCAGCAACAACAACAACAATTGTAAATGTGTTTTGTTGAGAACAGAGGAATAGTGGAATTTTGTGTAAGGGAAGTTTGCTGGGCAGAGTGGGGGCCTTTGCTTTGAAGCAACTGGATTTATCAAAGAGACCAACTTTGGGGATAAACTTCTTTTGATAAAGGAAGTTGTTATTCTTTTTTAAAGTGTAACAAACAGCTGTGAGAAAGGAAACTCCCAGGGAGTAGAGAGGTAAGCATTATGGAATGATTTAGTTACCTGGTATACACCTGTTGTGTATATCTTAAACAAACATGTGTAATGAAACTGTTGTTTGCTGGGTACAAGTTATATGTTGTGTATTTTGCACAGGCATTTTGCATTTAATCTTCACAACTCTAGATTTTGAGCACTATTTATTATATGCACATTACAGAAAAGGAAAAGGAATTTAAAAGTTTATAGGAAGGAGTGAACTCTGGTGGCTTAGTCCATAGAGAGTGGCACTCATAATCTAGAGTTTGTGGATCCCTGGCACAAGTCAGTGGTTCAAATCCACCAGTGTCTCCTCAGAGGAAAGATGGACAGTCTTTTATCCTGTGATTTACAGCTTCAGAAATGGAGTTGAGAGGGTCAGCTATAACTTGGTTCTCACTCGACAGCAATTTTCCTTAATTTAGCTTAAATCTAAACTTTTGGTGATAAGAAGCTATAGTGCTTCCGTTTGCATATCTCCTTGAAGAATAAGGATTTAATCCTGACCCAGTCGAAATATGTGAGCCATCTTGTGGAATTTTCAACTCACTGGCAGGGGGCTCAGTTTTGATTCAATAAATTGTAGGTAATAATTTCTGAGTCAGGAATCAAATAAGAAAATTATTCCTGAACCACTTTGTCATAGGGTGTATGTGACTGTACAGAGAAGAAAAAGAGCAGAAGAAAGAAGACAGAGTTGACAGTACAATTATGTCTCTAAAAGACTACAAAATTTTACTTACACGTTGCCAATTTCTAAATTTGCATATATAGATTAACCAAAATGACATATCAGAGCAAAGGTATCTCTTTTGACACTAGCAAATCATCATTTCAGTTTCAATTTCTTACCATTGCTTGCATTTATTTTTAAGATTCCTGAAAGAACAGATTTTCAAAACCAAACTAGAGTTGGAAGTCCTAGTAAGAAAAGTGCGTGACTCCAGTGGAGAAAGTGGAGCTTCACAGAAGCATGGCCACGTTCATTGGCACAGGTTACTTCAAACTTAGAAACAAATGCACTTGGGAACCTTACCTGCACAGAAAGTCTCCTCTGTCAGGAAACTTGCGTATTCTGGTTGTACATTCTCTTGTTTCCCCTTCAAACTTTTGATAATGGTTTCCTCTTTATAAAATGAGGTACAAATACTATAATTGTACTTCATTTTATAAAGAATATATGTAAAAATAGTCTAAATATCTAAAGATAGATATTTTAAACAGTATCTTATTAGACAATAGTTCCTTCCCCAGAAGAGGTTTTACTCTAATTATCTGGGTAGCTGGCACTTTGCCTTGTAAATTAAAGTCACTCAGCATTTGTTACTTTTGTAGACTTACAGGTTCACAGTCTTCAAGTTGAAACCATGTACAATCAGTGCTAAATTGGTGGTACAAGTAGTAAGTGCTGTATTTCTGAGGGGACTGATCTATGTGAAGCATCGAGGTTGGGAAGATTTGTAAAAGAAATGGGTTTTGAACTAAGCATTGAAGATGAATGGAAAAGATGCCAATTTCTGCAGCGATGTGGGAGCAGTAGCATTGCAGGGCTAAAGAGTAATAGCAGTTGAAAAAGAAAGCAACAAATGAATGTGCTTTGTGTGGAAGAGAGGCCCAAAATGGAAGAATTGTACATAGTAATTATTTAGGAGACAGGATATTCTAAGTAGCATTTTAACTCATAACCAAATATGTGTACCTTATGTTTATTTATCCTGTCTATAATCAGTATAGGTCAAAGCACATTTCTCTCACCCTAACCCCCTTAGATCTGATGCACTGCTCAAAAACTACCTCGATGAGTTAAAAAGAATTTTCCTATTTTGGAGTTGTGATTTGTTTCCCTTGAACTCAAGATTAATAAGGGAGTGAGCTGGATTAGGATCGATTAAGTAGACATATTGGCTAACTGAATTTTATCTTTGATCCTATTTTGATTCCCAGTTAGGGAAATCAGCCAGCCATTTTGATCTTCTAGAGCATAAGGAGTTGACTTTACTGACATGAATTTGAATACGTGCTTTGGCCACACACACTGGCAGTATTTTTATTTTAATTTTTTTTTTAGGGCAACTGATTCACCAGGTTAACTACATTAAATTATTAGGAAATTACTGGCCCATCCTTTCCTGGGGATTAATGGTCTTTTGAAATATTTATATTGAAACTATAAATACTATTTCCAAGAAGTGAATGTTACTTATTGTGATTATTTCTTTATATTTTTGCTTTCCTTGTAACATTAATGTCCATAATAACATGATACAGTTTTTAATAAAATTGTAAGCAACTGTTAGATTTGGGTATAGCCCTTTGTTTTTCTTGGTAGAAACTCCTTTTTCTCAAAGTGGACAAGCACCGGCAGACATTTTAAAAGTGTGACTCCCTCTGTGAAATTGTTTTCACTCTTAAGTTGCGTTTCTGTTTTCTGCTATTGTAAAGTGCAGTTCTTTGCATGTTCAAATTTGCCATGACGTGGTCAAGTGCTGTTTCCTTCCTGTTGCTTGTGGGCCTGTGCTAGAGATAAGGATACATTTCAGTGCATTAAAAAACAGAAGCCACAGAGGATAGGCTTCAGCATGGTAATAGAGTCTGCTGTTTATAAGAGCCTTTGTAGAGAACAGAAAGAATAGAATTTGGTTTTCTCCTTGGTGTTTTTTTCTTTAAAAAAACACCCTGTTAAAATAATACTTACTTAACCGTAAATGTATTAGACCATTTAACTGATATTAATTTTATTTAATGAATATTATCTGAATGTTTCTGTTAAAAATTCAATTATATACATCATGAAGTTATTCATGGAGTAACAGTTCCTTTGTAGGTAGTTTGCCTGGTTAGTGGAAAGAAGGATATTGTTTATATACTCTTTATTTAATGACAAATGTATAAATATTGCTAGATTTTTTTTCTTTTAATACTTTTACTGGAGTGTAACTGGGCTTGAGGTGGGAGGAAAGATTTTCACAAATGAAAGACACTGATACCTTAGAAATGCAATTGTCAAAATATATATCTTATCAGAACACATGTTTATTATTCATTCTAATTTTCTTTTAAACTAACAATAAAAAAAATACTTTGGACACTGTGTCTTCATCATTGGTTGTATATTTGAAGTGCTTGTAATTGCTTTTTCATAACTAATTAACTTTTCTTTTTCAGGCCAAGACATTCCAGAGAAGGAAAACTACTTCAGTTTAAATAGATTGTCAGTGAAGCAACAAAACCTGAAGCATCTTCCTTAAAGAAACCCTGGGTATACAGTAATTTCATGGACTTGGCTGTGGGTTTTTTAACCCAGATTAGTCACTGAACTCTACCACCTGATATTTGAACCTGTTTGGAATTTTTCTTATGTGGATCTGAGGGGAATGCTTTATTATGGCTGCTGTTGTCCAACAGAACGACCTGGTATTTGAATTTGCTAGTAACGTCATGGAGGATGAACAACAGGTACGAGAACCAAAGATTGTTAGATTAAAATTCATTTGTTTTCATGATTTCTCCACTTGTATCTGAGTACTATTTACTTCAGAAGAGAATCAAAACGCTTTTATTAAAGTAAAACTTTCTATATTCATTTCTGAATTAAAAATTGAGGGTAAAGTGCTCTTGTGTTTTAAGTGCCACCAGTTAAATAATGGATTATGCACATTTTCTTCAGCTTTGATGTGCTGACAAGGAAGTAATGCTTTTGGGGTTCAGATTGTTTTCTTGTAAAGTGAAACCAAATAGCAAATGCCTTAAGTAATTATTTCAAAATAATTTTGGAAGTATAAGTAGTGGATTCCCATTAACAGAGCACATAATGGTGTTTAGTAGTCTAGTATTGGTGATTGTAAGACGTGTGTGCAGTTTTACAGAGTTCGGTTTTAATACGTGAGGTTAATTAGCATTTTTAATTGCGGGCAGTCCTGTAGTCATCATTTCAGTCTAAAGCATGTGACTGTGAGGAAGTTACTCAGCTTCTCTAGATTTAGATTTCATCATCTGCAGAGTGAGGGGATTAGATGAAATGATTTCCAGATTGGCTCTTTCCATTGAATTTATACAAGATGTACAAATTACTCATTCAGGCATATACTATAAAAAGAGAAAAAGTAAAAAGAAACAAGGAATATTGGTAAAAGATCTGAGTTTAGAGGGGAAAAACTTTACTTAATTTTAATTTTTTTCTTTGTTTTCTTTCTTTTTTTTTTTTTAATTTTATTATTTTTGTGTGTGTACCATCAAATCAGATCTGACTGGTACAGGAGGAGATTGTTCCTCCTTCTCCAGCAGAGCATCTGGTGGATTCGAACTGTGCACCTCTTGGATTGCAGTGCAGCTTCTTGCCACTAGGCCACCAGAGCTCGCCTATTTACTTAATTTTAAGCAGGGTATATGTATTGTGTAAAATGTTTTATAAGAGAAATTGTTTTAAGTGTTGGAGGGCTTCATTTACTGGGAAAAGTATTTTGTAGATGAGTAGGTATAAAGTATTTTTAATACGGTTGCTGTGAATACTGAAATAAGGTTAATCTCATATAATAAATTTGATTGAGTTAACCATTATGTATATCATTCATTTTTACTAAAACATAGTTACAACAAATAATAAAACTTGATTTCTATTGATAGAGCATTATAATTTTTTAGCTGTTTATTTGCCATTAATATTAAAATGCAGAATTAAAAGTACATAAATAAACCTACAATAGATGAAAATTTGGATGAAAGCCCTTTAAAATCAGCATGTGCTTTGGCCCATGGTGGGGGGGGGGGCATGGAAAGAAGGCTGCTTAATTTCCTTGATAAACGTATTGATCGTTATCTGTATTTTGCCTAGAAAGATGGAGAAGCTATTTTAGAAAGAAAGAGTATTTTGAGTTTGTTCTATCAGGGAATGTTTATTTGTATGTTATGGTTTAAAAACGGTATGTTTACTATTCAGCCCTCTTAAAGATTCTGGTGAAGGATCCTGTGGATCCCAGGTTTAGTATGGTGAGGACTGATCACAGAATGCGGTAACTGAGCCAGAGCCCTTAAGCTACTCTCTAGTATACTGTGGTGTGGTAACTGTGTACTGTTGTCTCCATAGTAATACATTTTACGTTATGGTTCAGTATGCGTTGTTTGAAGCAGGAATGGCATTCACTTCCTAAACAACATGCCTCTGGAAACTCTATGAACTTTGATAAATGACAAGTTATAGAAAGGCTTCAGGCCTTTTGTTCAGAGGGTCGCTGTTAGCTTTGTTCGATGGCTTGTCAGGTTCTGTCAAATTATCTCTAGCTTGTAGCAACCCAGTGAACACTAGATTGGAAACTTGCCTTGTCTTTGTGCCATTGTTACCATCTCAGTGATGGGCTTGTCTCTGTGTCAGTCCATCTCATTGAGAATCTTCTTGTCTTTTGCAGATTTGTGTACACTTCTGACTAATACACATTTGTCTAAATAACCTTTTAAAAATAGGGAGTGAGGCATTAAAAAAAACCCCACAAACTTACCTCTTGCCTTTACTGTGTCTAATTGTACCTTAGCTTAGTAGTCCTTGTTGTTGTTGTTGTTATGTGTTGTCGAGTCGCTTGCGACTATAGTGACCCTATGCACAGCAGCCCTCAACTCTGTTCTGTCCTGTACCAATCTCATTGTCTCCGACACAGTCATCCCGATTACCCAGTCACTCAATCAATCCATCTCCTAGAGGACCTTCCCCTCCTGCACCTGCCCTCCACTCTCCCAAGCATGATGTCCTTCTCCAAGGACCGGTTAGATAAAGAAATTATGTTCTTAAGAACATAAAGTTGAGTGTGTATGTGTCAGTGTTCTTAGTTACTTTTTTTATCTAGTAAAATGAATATTAGTTTTGTGCAGGCCTGTTGTAAGGATTTACAAATACTTACCATGTTGTTTTTGTTATGTGCCCTTAAGTTGCCTATGACCCATAGCGACCCTACATACAGCAGCTCTGAACACTGCGCTGAGCTTTTCTCACTGATTCTGATACACCAGCTTCCATTGCCCCAGTTACTATATCTGTCCATCTCATCTGGGATCTTCCTCTCCTGCGCTGTCCCTCCACCCTTCAAGCATGATGTCCTTCTCCAAGGACCAGTTCCCTCCTGGCCATATGCCATATCACCTAACAACTGTTAGGCCCATTTTACAGTACAAAATTTCACACGGTGATTAAATGATTTTGTTATTGAGCTAATAAATAGTGGAGCCAAAAATTGAACACAAGGAGTTGTACTTCCACTAACAATGTTAAACACTTTTGCAGTGATCCATGAGAATCTGAATGTATTAAATGTTTGAGGAGAGTTGGCCTGATTTGTGGTTGTTATGTACCTGAGTATGACTCATAACGACCCTATGGTCGTTTAGACAGATCTAAACTCTGACCTGTCCTGTGCCAGCTGTATCGTCTCCGATGTACTTGAGCCCATTGCTGCTGTGACTGCCAGTTCATCTTGTTGAGGGTCTTTCTGTCCTTCATTGACCCTCTACTCTTCCAAGCATGACTTTTCTTTCCATGGAATAGCCCCTGAGCACTCTGGCTGCACTTTCTCTAAGATGTATCTGTTTGTTCTTTTGTTAGTCCTCAGGGTATTCAGCACTTTTCTCCATTACCACAGCTCAAAGGTTTCAATTCTTCTGTCATCCTTATTCATTGGTTAGCTCTCAAATACATATCAAGTGACTGAAAAGACCATAGCCTGAATCAGGCACACTTTAATCTTTAAACTGATATCATTACTCCTCAGTACTTTGGAAAGGTCCCTGACAGTATGCATTCCTGTTGCAATATGCCTTCTTATTTCTTGCCTGCTGTTGTTAAGGTGGTTGATTGTGGATGCCAGTAAAAAAAATCATTGACAGTTTCATTCTTTTTTCCCTCTATTATGATGTTGCCTGTCAGCTTGGTGGTGAGGGGTTTTGTCCTCTTAATGTTGATATGTAATCCATACTGACAGTTGTAGTCTTTGATCTTATGCAGCAAGCTTTTTAAGTCCTCCTCACTTTCATCCAAAGTTGTGTATTTGCATAACACAGATTGTTGATGAGCCTTCTATCCTCATGCCACATTTTTAATAGAATCCAGCTTCTTTCCTTACCATACAGATTAAATAGGTATAGAGAAAGAATACATCTCTGATGCATTCCTTTCTTGATTTTAAACCACTGAAGTGTTCCCTTGCTCTGTTTGGACAACTTCATGGTCTAGGTATAGGTTTTGTAGCAGCATCATTAAATGTTCAGGAATTCCCACTCATCCCAGTGTTAACCATAGTTTATTATGATCCACACAGATGCCTTTGTATCATCAATAAAACACAAATAGGCATCCTAGTATTCTCTGCTTTCTGCTAAGATCCATGTGACATCAGTAATGATATTCCTACAGCCTCTTCTAAATCCAGCCTGATTTTGGGTGATTTTCAGCATTATTTTATTTGCATTTAATATTAATGATATTGTTCAATACTTTCTGCATTCTTTTGGACCAGATTCTTGGGAATTGAAACAAATATGTATCTCTTCCAGTCAGGTAACCAGCTATAGCTGTTTTCCAAATTTCTTGGCACAGAGTAGTGAGCATGTTTCTGTTAGTTGAAACCTGTCAATTGATACTGCGTTGATTGCTGGAGCCTTATTTTTTGCCAGTGTTTTCAATGCAGCTTGAACTCCTTTCTTCATTACCATTGGCTCTTGTGCATATAGTATCTCTGGAAATGTTTTGGTATCGACCAATTCTTTTTGGTACAAGGAATCTCTATAGTCCTTCCATCTTCTTTTGATGCTTTCTGGATTGTTCAGGATTTTCCTCAGAACATCTAGTACTACAACCTGAGGCTTGAACTTCCTTATCAGTTCTTTCATCCTGAAACGTGCTAAGTGACTTCCCTTATTATTTTCCAACTCCAGTTCCTTTTACATTCCATTCTGTTTCTCGACCTACTTTTTAAACTCTTCAGTTTGTATCTTTTACTTTCTATATCTCTTCCCTTTGTTTTGACTTCTATGCCCTAGTGCAATTTGGAGGGTCTCTTCTGGCATCTATTTTGGTCTTTTCTTTCTCGCTCTGCTTATAATGACCTTTTACTCATTCCATGGAGGATATGCTTGCTATCTTGTATCTTATCTGGTTTTCTTTCTTTAGTGTTCCATGCCTAAAACTTATTCTATTATGATTTTTAAATTCTAGTGGGATAGACTCAAGATCTTATTTTGGTTCTTGGGAACTTGTGTTAATTTTCAACTTCAATTTGAACTTGCACATGAGCGATTAATGGCTTGATTTAGAGTTCTACTCTGTGGCCATGAGTATAGTAAACAGTAGATTCATGTAGTGGTAGGTGGAGTGGTGTGGTCATGTTAGCATCATGTCTAACCTGTTGCCTTACTTTGTTTGCTTCTTGTGGTTGGTTTAATCGGGTTTTAGTTGGTTGGTTTAATTGGGTTTTAGT